ATTTCTTCCAGAGAACAGAATCCTACAAAATACCTCTCCTGCACAATGCTGAATATTCTCTAAATTTCCTTCTAAAAATCTAAGGAGCTGATGGAGTTCTCATAGTTTTAAACTCTGCTTACAAACTCCCTCCTTCCCACCGAAAATCAATGTTAATTTAAGAATAGCCTTTGGAACATGCAACCAAATTTCACAAGTAATTCCTAGTGGACTAAACCCACTAGGGACGTTGGGTCTTAGAAATCCATTCTTGCATCTGAATTATGTGGCTTAGCCCATCTTCACTTTTAAAAGATTTTTAGATTTTTTATAATGTTGACTAAATCAGATACAAGAAAGAGGTTGTTCACACCAAGAACTGTTCACATCGACAACTGGAAAGCTATTTTAAAACTATTTTTTACCAAATATATGTTCAAATTTCTCTTTCTTCTTCTCCAAACACTGAGATATTCTGAAATCTATGGACTTCGTCCTATTTCACCATTCAGTAACCTAATTATTACTAGTCTAAGTCTATATATCTAAACACTGCTCAGTTATAAGATGCTGAAAATCTGAGCTAGCAACTGAAAGTAATAGGCTACTCTTAGGCTATGTCTAGACTGCACCCCTCTGCTGACAGAGGGATGCAAATCAAGCTCTTTGAAAGTGCAAATGAGCTCAAGATTTAAATATCCCGGGCTTCATTTGCATACTCACATTCGGGTGCTGTGCCGAACAAGTGCCCTTTTGAAAGTGAAAGTAAAGTCTAGCTGCGGTTCTGCCGACAGCGGGGAGCTTTTTCGGCAGATCCTGTACGCCTCAAAAAATGAGTACTGTACACAAATTGTCCACAAACACTCTGCCTTGGTCTACACTAAGGAATTATTTCAAAATAACTTCCCTTATTTTGAAATAACAAGCAGAGCATCCATGCTACCAGGCCAATGATTTTGAAATAAGGGGCTAGTTATTTTGACATCATAACTCCTGCTTTCCATGGGGAATAAACCTTATTTCAAAATAGTTGTTTTGAAATAGTGGTAGTGTGGACATTCCATTGTTGCTATTTCGAAATAACTACTCCCCAGAGACATTCAAAGTAATTACTCCACGGTGCTCCCAGGGGCTCTAAGTCAAGATAGCTCATCCTCATTAAGGGAACCTGCCTCAGACTAATTTTGAGGTAGTTATTTCAGGAGTTATTATTTTGAAATAAGTTATTTCAAAATAATTTCCTAGCGTAGACATGCCCCCAGTATCACAATGATCTCATTAACGTTTATCTTTGAGGGATTGGAGGACTGTGTTGAAAGCAAGACCACAAAATGTTCAATTTGCAGCAGACATGTTACCTACCTATACTTAAGATTAGATCTTGTGTGCGATAATTCATTTTATTGTTACATTGCATTTATGTGGTCATACGCTTATTTTTCTGTCTTGTTTTACTGCACAGGATTATTCTGTAATATAACCATCTTGAAAATCCATCAAGGATTGTGCAAAACTATGAAAGCCCAAAACTATAGCTCCTCTAAAACTTTGCACGCATTCAGACAGAAAGCAGCTCTGTGTATAAACAGATTATCATTTGAAGCATGTACATTATAGCCAGGAGAAATATTCCCAGAGTAAAAGTCATTGAACTGACAAGAAACAACTGCTACGTCAAAATGTATTTCACTAAATCAGATTCATTCATTTATAATGTATGTTTTTAATTACTATGTACCTTGGCCACCTATTTTTATATGATACAGTATGTTTAAAGTATTAACCATTTATACTAAGTACACATATCATAGTTTAACATAGTTTATTCTGTTTAAATATAAAAATAAATATAGCTTTGGCTTGTCCAATATTACAAATATAGTTTTATAGATCTACATTATGATAATCAAAGTGCAAAAGACCAAATGAAGAGCTGAGTCTAAAAATCTAAAGGAATATAAAATTATGGAATAAACAATGACTTCCAAGGTCATTGCTTTAATTTTAACACTTATCTAGACTAGATCCCTTACTAACATGTAATTTATACCCTTTTACTTAGCACCTCTAAATTTGGCCTTCTGAGTTAAGGCTAAAAGGGTGTAACACATGTCACAGGGGTGATAAGAAAGTGATTTCTGTCTCATAGATTAATCAAGACTTGGTTTTGAATTTTGGTCAGTGAGCCAAGTACACTTTGGTAGATGTCCTTGTATTGCTGACAGCCTATTTTCTACTTGTTAAAATAAAAAATAAATTATGACAGATATGACAATTTTTCCTGCTATGTATTGGACAAACCTTACTGAATTAAGTTGAAATATATTAGGGATTCACTGTCCTAAAATGCAGTTGTACCATCCTGATTATGAAAGATTAGAAAGTTTGTCTTCAAGAAGGAATTTTTTGTCTGCAGCCCACTTGTTATATGAGGCCAAGATCAGAGGCCAAAACCGTAGAAAGGAGTGACTCTCAGATTCTTGAATGTGACTGTTCTGAACTAATTGCCATTAACTGGTGACCACAGAAAAATGATCTGCTGTAGTTTGAAGTACTTATACCTAGCAGAGTCCTTTTTCTAATTGGAATGATCTTTGGTAAACTTACTAACATGCATGTAAGTTTTGATTGTGTTTAATGTTGAGGCTATGTTTACACTATGCAGCTTTTTGCAACATGGCTATGCCACTACAACCATGCCACTAAAAGGAGCACAGTATAGCTACTATTTGTTGGCAGAAGAGAGCTGTTCTGTCAACAGAAAATTTCCATGCCCAACAAGGAGTGTTAAAGCCTTCCTGCAGGGAAAGCATTATTTATACCAGCACTTGTCATTGACAAAACTTTTGTCTTTTAGGCAGTGTCTATGTTTTCTAACATGTCTAAATGACAAAAGTTTTACCTTTCACTTGGCACTGTAGACAAAAGGAATGCTGATAATTTATAACTGTGGGCAATTATGCTGTTTATAGTCTTTGAAAAGAAAAAGCAAACAGGCTGGCAGACAGTTGGACTTGCTGGTGAATTTACAGAGCAGCCTAGAACTGTGCATCATGGACATACGCTGGTCATCAGGGAGACCTGTGGCCCCATTCAAGAGAGGTGATGATTGGTGAGCCAGAAGCCTGAGAAGGAGTGACTTTGGTAAACTATAGAGAGGGAATACAGGTGCAGGTGTCTTGAACTGTGACATAACTGGACTTTTCTGTTTTATTTTATTTTATTTCTTTCATAAATTCCCACTTGGCAGGAGGATCTAGTATCATTTGTGGTGATGAAGCAGAAATTTTGCAGTCCTATTGTAAGAAATAAGTCATTTATGCAAGAAAAAACATCCAATCTCCCAGAAACAGGACTGTCCAACAGCATTTTGAACATTAGGGAGCTAAAAACACCTAAACAACTTTGTCTCAGAATTCCTTGTAGAAGGTATCATAATGTAGGGGACAGCTGAGCTGAGTTCTCCTTGATACCTCTGCAAGAAACATATTCTTGAGCCTTGGTGCATTTTGGTAAGAGTTGCTGAAATGAAAAAGAAAATAGAGGATAATGATGGCAGCTAGACTGTCTGAACTGGATGTGAGATAATTTGCAAGGAATTATATTCTTTTTAATTTGTGGTATACTCCCAGTCCTATAATATTGGAATTCCTAAACCAAGCACACAGTAGTTGCCATTAAAATGTCATAAATTGTCACACTGCTGTGTGCTTGGTTTAGGAATTCCAGTATTATAGGACTGGGAGTGGTGTATTAAATAAAACCCTAGGTTGTCTCAATATACAGAAACTACAATTGTTTTTATCTATTTTAACAACATAGTCCCTCATTCTGTAAACATTTAAGTATCTGAAGACTCTGAATAGATATCACTGGGTTGAGTTCAACAGGGCTAGTCATATAATTAACATGACTCATTTGTATGTGTTTTCAGGATTGAGGCCAATGTTTGT